TCATGAGGGGTCACTATGTCCATTTTCTGGAACAACCACAAACTGACTGTTACCAAATATTGACGAGTCGCTGACCACTGTCGCTTGATCACTGTTATCGTAGCACTTTCTCAACCTTGAAACCTACATAAACCGCTGTGACTTGGAGTCAGGGTCCTTGTCAAGACTCCACTGTGTTGGATGAGACTTGCACCCTAGCTCGAGCTAGCAATAAAGTTTCTTTGCTTTTGCATTATCGCGTGTGGACTTGGTCTCTTCATGACTGGGATCTGAAATTTGGACACAACAAGGCAATATGGTGAGGATGAAGGACGCGGATCCTAGACAAGGGGTGACTATTTTTTGTGGGGAGGCACACCTGGCATTGCTGAAAAGCCACTCCTGGGAGTGCCAGCCTGTAGTTCCTACTGCAAATTGGACCCAGGATTTCTGTCTGCAAAGCATGTACTCTGGTGCAAAGTCCTCTCCCCAGTATTCTTCCATACTTTTGGATTCTGAATATCTCTAACTAGGTCTTATAACTTCCTTAATAAATATGGTCAACTCTAAGTGCTTAATTTTTGGTGACTCTCTTACGAACTTCACTTATGTGAATTCACATAACAACCCATTGACAAAGGAAATGTTTCCCAACATACAGGCAAAGAAACTGAGGCACAGAGCGATTGGGTTCTCAAGACTGCACAGCAGGGACCAATATTACTGAGTAGTTCTCTGCCATCCTTTCCTGCAGAAGAATGCGTCTAAGGAGGGGGAGGCCTAGCTATAAATCATATCACTACAAGTCAAAGCTCCCCACTCTGGGCCATAAGTATCCCTGTATTCTTGTCTTCGTGGGTTTTTATCTTGGTGAAAGATGTTAAATGAACAGAGAAAGGTGGTTTTCATAAAGAGGGGAGCAAAATTTAAAAAAAAAATGCTTATCCCAAAATTCAGAAATCAATAGGCAAAAAAAAAGTTATCGCTTTGCTACTGCTTCATGATACTGTTTTGTAAGTTATTATTTCATGTAGCACTTTTATTTTGAAAGTCCACACCTGGCATTACTCCCAGCTCAATTCTTGGGGGACCATGTGGTTTCTGGGATCAAGCGTAGGCCTTGGCATGGAAAGCCTGTTGAGTGACCCACCCCTGGTCCTTTATAGCAGTTTCTTCTCTTGCCTCTCGGCATCCTACAGGGTTGGAACAGGCGGACTCCCTGATGCAGAGACACAGGATGAAAAGGTACAGCCTGAAGGAAGTGGCAGAGCCCAGGCCAGCTTAGGCCATCCAGACTCCAGGTCAGACCACCCCCCTCCTCCAAGTGTGAGGGTCTCAGCAGGCAAATCCCACTCAAGCTGCACAGAGAGCTTTGGCAGAAGATGTGAAAATCAAGGAAAAGTCTCTTTGCAACATTAAGAGCCATCATCCACAGATAAAAATGTAAAATAATTGGATGCTTCCTCCCCCAACCCCCTTTGAAAGCCAAGCATGCGGCTCTTATCTGAAATGATTAACGTCCTGTCCAAGCAGAGTGGTCCCCAGGCACCCGAGCTGATCCCAAGCAGCTGTAATAAATGAGCGTGCCCGGGCGCCATGGAGGAGGAAGGTGGGTGGGGATGCGTTTGTGTGGGGGGTGTTCATGTTCACTGCGTCAATCTGCCATACCCACACACGGTCCAGACCCCTGTGAAAGGGACAGGGGGACTGTGAACAGCAGCCTCCAAGTTTCTTCATTCTAGGTCATCACAAAGAACACCCCTTAACTCCTAGGGGGTCAAATTCCTCCATCATTAACCAACGCACAAAAGATGGAGGAGAAGTTAGCACAAAAGAGGGTATGCAATCTCCCGGCAGAGCACACGTGGCTCCCGAACATGACTGTGTGCTTTTACTTCACTGTTTGTTTTTTTTGTTTTGTTTTGTTTTGTTTTTTTTTCTCTTTTTTTCTGTGTGTGTATGTGTTTTGCGGGTCACACCCAGTGGTGCTCAGGGATTAATCCTGGCTCTGCACTCAAGAATCACTCCTAGTGGGCTTGGGAACCATATGAGTACCAGGGATCAAACCCGGGTTGGCCATATGCAAAGCAAGAGCACTACCCACTATACTATTGCTCCAGCCCCTATGTACTTTTAAAATTTGATGCGACTAGTCATGATAACCATTACTTAAGAAAATAGCTTTCTACTTCCAAAATATAAGCAACTATTTGTGTGTGTGTGTGTGTATAAACCACAGTCCAACAATGCTCGGGGATTACTCCTTGCTCCATGCTCAGGGATCACTATTGGCTATGCTCGGGGGACCATAGGTAGTGCTGGGATTTGGACTGGCTGTGTACAAGGCAAACACACCTACCCTCGGAGCTATCTCTCCAGTCCCGGGAGAGTTTTATTTTTTATTTATTTTTTATGTAGGAGTACTGCTATTTATTCAGCCACCGATTAGCCGATTGAATTGGGCATGAACTCCACCTTACTTTTTTTTTTTATAGTTTTATTTATATATTTATTTTCGTCTTATATTATTGAATCACCGTGGGAAAAGTTGCTAAGCTTTCAGGTTTAAGTCTCGGTCATACAATGATCAAACACCTTTCCCTTCACCAGTACTCACATTTCACCACCAAGAACCCCAATATACCCCCCCTCCCATCCCACTCAATGCCTGTGAGGCAGATGAGGGCCTCAGTTTCCCCACCTGCTGAGGAAGACAGCTGAACCGAGGGGGCAGCTACAGACATGTCTTGCCTCTCCCAGTACGTGGTTTAGCTCACTGGAGCCCAGGAAGGATCTGCCGCAAGCCTGGTGGCCCAGTCAGCACTCAGGGGGATCTACTGAATGGGATTCACATGAGGAAATGGGGCGACTGACCGCACTGCACCTCCAGGGGATGCTGATGTGAAGGGCTATGGATGCAGGCTGGCTGGGGGCTGGTCCCCACCCTTGCTTCTAGTGTCACTTTAAGGAGAGGTGCTGCTGAGCTGGGGGAGAAGGTGGCTGGGATAGAGAAAGGATCACTAAGTGAAAGATGGTTGGAGGGATCAGTCGGGATGAGATATGTGTGCTGAAAGGACCAAACGTGGTAGCCTCTCAGTATCTGTTTTGCAAACCATAATGCTCAAAAGTAGAGAGAGAGTTTGGGGTTAAATTGTCTGCCATGGAGGCAGGGGGAGGGTTGGAAAGGGGAGAGATACTGGGGACATTGGTGGTGGAAAAATACACAAAAGCTCAATGACCTCACAATCGGGTATCTTAGTCTTCCGGGGCCTCAGTTTCCCCACCTGCTGAGGAAGACGGTTTGGAAATATGGGGGAAATTTTTTTGCCATGGAGGCAGGGAGAGGGTTGGAAAGGGAGGAGATACTGGGGACACTGGTGGTTAAAAAGTGCACTGGTGGAGGGATGGGTGTTAGATCATTTATGACTGAAACTCAAACATGAACACTTGTAACTGTATCTCACAGTGATTCAATATAAATAAAATATAAAAAAAAATTTAAAGTAGAGGTGCTGCCAGCAGGGGTCACAGGAACGGACGTCTCTGCCCCCCCCACCCCCGCTCTTATTTTAGACTTCCCTTGTCCTTACCCGGAGGCATCTGAGGGTCTGTGTTTACTGTCCCCCTCCTGCTCAGAGGACGCTGGGGCCACTCCCTGATCTCTGGTGTCAGGTATATGGATCAGAACTTTTCTGCAAACCACCGATCAATGTATAAAGTGCCGGAAGCTCTCCATGGGAACAAAGGTGATTTCAGGGTAATAAGCGATAAGATTTATTTAAATCTAGATCACCATGGCCGCCCAGGGGATGGGAACTGCTCCTTTTCACATAGAGATAGAGACACCCCGCCGCCCCCCCCCCCCCACCACTAAATGCTCTCACCTCCAAAACTAAAGATAGGGATTGCTGGGACTGGAGAGATAGTATGTTAAATAAGGCACTTGCCTTGCATGCAGCCAATTCAGATTTAATCCCCAGCACCCCAGTGGAGTTCCCCAAGCCTGCCAGGAATGATCCCTGATGAGGGTTGGAGGGATCGTTCGGGATGGGAGATACCTGCTGAAAGTAGATAAAGGACCAAATGTGATAGCCTCTTAGTATCTGTATTGCAAACCCTAATGCCCCAAAGTAGAGAGAGAGTATGGGGGAAATTGTCTGCCACGGAGGCAGGTAGAAGGGTGAAACAGGACAGGGGGATATTGGGGACATTGGTGGTGGAAAATGTGCACTGGTGGAAGGATGGGTGTTCGATCATTGTATGACTGAAACTCAAACATGAAAGCTTTGTAACTGTACCTCACGGTGATTCAATTAAAAATAAAATAAAAAAGAAATGATTCCCCAAGTGCAGAGCCAGGAGTCAGCTCTGAACGCTGTCAGGTGTGACCCACAAACAAAAACAACAAAATGGAGCTAGAGATGGCTCTCTCATCTAAAGTGGGTCGTCCCTGCTCCCCCATGTAGAGAGTATGGGGGGGAAATTGTCTGCCATGAAGGCAGGGGAAGGGTTGGAAAGGAGGGAGGTACTGGGGACATTGGTGTTGGAAAAATACACAAAGAACCCAATGACCTCATGATCATATATCTTATTCTGCCGGAACCGTGAGCACACGTGGGGGACCTCAGTTTCCCCACCTGCTGAGGAAGACGGCTGGAAATATGAACCCAGAGGCACTGCATGTGGGAGGGGTGGGCTCAATCCTCAGCACTGCATGGCCCTCTGAGCACGGCCGGGGGTGAACCCTGTGCTGGACACAGACCCAGGAATAGCCCCTGAGCACCACTGAGTGTGGGACCCCACCCCCTGTCCCCCACACACAGTGCTTTGGTGTCCAGCGCTGGGCCTGAAACTCAAGCGATGCTTCTCACAGCCTGGATTGAGCAAAGTTTTCCCCACACCCGCACCCTCCCAGTGATGGTCAGGAATCAGGGTGGTTAGGACAGGTGCCTGCTGAGCACCCCAGGAGGGAGAAAGGAACGCGGGGTAAGGGGGGCAGGAATGGGGGGAGGCGCACTTACTGCCAGGGCAGGCGGCTTCTTTGGGTCCAGAAGACATGGGTTGCGCGCAGAGCTGGCAGAGACAGTCTCTCCCGTTGAACGTGACCCGGTCCCCAGGGGGGAAGGGGCGCCTGCAGACAGAAAGACAGGGGCCCACATTGTTATTCCTGCCCCTTTGTGCTGTACCTCGGGGTGGACTCCTCCCCGGCTTCCTGCCCTGTAGAGCCAATTCATTCCCTGGAGGAGCAAGGGCAGAAATGCCTGAAATCTGAGTTTGAACCCAGCCAGCCAGCCTGCTGGAGACAAATGGAGCAAAAATAAAAAAAAAAGCCTCACTTGGAGAGGGGGAGAGCACTCAACCCGGAGCAGCCAGGAGGTTTGCTACCCTCATCACCTCTGCCTGTGAGTGGGGGCAAGTTCCCCTTCGCCTCACCTCACACGGCCAAAGTTTCCACCTTCCCGTTGGAAAAGGCTCTGCGAGGAACATTTAAAATGCCATGAATTCCTGTCCCAGTGTAGGGACGGGGTCACAGGTTAAGCCTGAACTCACTGGGACCCTGAGGCACTGATTCTCAAGCCAAGCTGGACTTTGGCCCAGACCTCTGCCAGGGGAAATTGAACGTCTGGGAGCCTGGAGACCTAGGTCCTTCCAAGTCCGGGGAGGACTTTTCCAAAGGGCCATGCCTGTCCCAGGAGACCCTCCTCAAGGACAGCATATTTTGCAGACCGATTGCCTTTTGTGCAAGCATGATGTGCCTCCTCTCCATCCAGGTAGAGGGTCATTCAAATAACTTCATCCAGACACACAGCGCTCAGAGACTCCCAAATGAATCTCAAAATGGATTAGCACCCGACAGAGATGTCTCTGGACCCCAGCCATTTACAATTTTAGAATTCCATGATACTCATAATATTCACGATATGACATTCCCTCATGATATTCATATTAAGCAATAGAAAATAAATAATTCAGCATCTGCCCCTGGCAGGCAGGCTTGAATGGTGGTGGGAAAATTCAAAATAATGGTGGTGGGAAGGTGTAATGGTGGTGGGTTGGGTGTTGAAATATTGAATGTAATCAATTAATGTGAACAACCTTATAAAAATAGCACTGTCCTCTGTAGCACTGTTCTCCCGTTGTTCATTGATTTGCTCGAGCGGGCACAGTAATGTCTCCATTGTGAGACTTCTTGTTACTGTTTTTTTTTTTGCCTTTTGGGTCACACCTGGCGATGCACAGGGCTTACTCCTGGCTCTGCACTCAGGAACTACTCCTGGCGGTGCTCAGGGGACCATATGGGATGCTGGGAATCGAACCTAGGTCGGTCGCATGCAAGGCAAACGCCCTGCCCACTGTGCTATCACTCCAGCCTCTTGTTACTGTTTTTGGCATACCAAATACGCCACGGGTAGCTTGATACTCTTGGTAGCTTGTGGGGCTCTCTGAGAGGGACTGAGGAATTGAACCTGGGTTGGCCGTGTGCAAGGCAAATGCCCTACCCACTGTGCTATCGCTCCAGCCGTATGATGAAAAAAAAAAAAAGACACAGCGCTTTCTGCGTCTGCTCATGTGCATCTGACCAGCCTGTCAATCATCTTCACCAGCCTGAGTCCTCAGACTCGGTCAATGAGAAAGTGTCAAGGGCACCAGTGCCACAGCCCTGCCAGTCTCAGTCAGAAGCAATGACCCCCGAGCAAATTCAAGTGTCCTGGCAGGCGTTTCCCCACCTCCTCTCCCTGCCCCCCGCCCGGCTACCATCCTCCTCATAGGTAGTCCCTGGGCTGCCCATCTGGGCGAGATGAACTGTGTGGGCCTTCCACAGGAAGACAACCTGCATCTGGGCAGGTCTGACCTGTGCTGGGCACCCACCGGCCAGGAGAGATGGAAACGCTCACAGCTTGTAGAAGCGTGGCCTCTTCTGGTTCTGGGCTAGGTCCGGAGCACTGAAGCATGAGTCTGGAATGGTCATGGAGGAAGGGCAGGAAGGGCAGGCCCTGGGCAGCTGTGTGCGGTGTCCACTGACTCAGAGATGCTCTGTCTTAGCAGCCCACTCTGACCGAGCCTGCTTTCTCTGGGAGCTCCTCGGGGATTTCAGGGCAGAACCTGAGAGCCGGCGCCCCTCTGACGAGCAGGAGCCTGACCAGCCTCCCCAAGGCCTGGCCCCGCTTCTGAACCAGGCTCTGATTTTTTTTTTTTTTTTTTTGCTTTGTGGGTCACACCCGGTGATGCACAGGGGTTACTCCTGGATCACACACTCAGGAATTACTTCTGGTAGTGCTCAGGGGACCACATGGGGATGCTGGGAATTGAACCCGGGTGGACCGGGTGCAAGGCAAATGCCCTACCTGTTGTGCTATCGCTCCAGCCCAGCCCAGGCTTTGATTTTCAGACGCAAATCCCCGCTGAATCCAAGAGAGGCTAAATTGGACTCCGGTTCTCAACATGGCCAGGACTGCTTTCGTGGGGGTAGGGTGGGATCACACCTGGTAGTGCCTGGGGGTGCCTCTGGGCTGTTCCTGGGGGACTATATGGTGCGGGGAATCAAACTCACCTGCAAGGCAAGTGAGCAAGCCCCTATGTTGTTTCTCGGGTCCAGGGGCCAGAGAGCTACTAAACTTTGCATTTTGTTGTTTTCTCAATGAGGCTTACTTCCCCATTCCAGTGTCCTCAGCCCTCATTTCTCCTGGGTACAGAAAGAGGACCAGAGTCACAGCACCTGCACTCAAATCTTCACGGCAGGTCCCACATGTGGTCTGGGGCAGTTCCTTCCACTCGAGACTCAGAGCCCCTGATAGGGTGGTATTCACTCCTGACTCAGAGGCGTCATTTAAATCACGAGGAACGACATTTGTAAGCTCTTAAGAGGTCTCCAGTTTGGGCGCAGCAGCTACCAGTACATGCATACATGCATGTCTCCATGCACACACCTACACATATGTGCAAAGCTGTGGGCCTGGTCCATGCATGGACGCCCACACACATACTCAGCAGCAGTAGCAGTTTCCTCCTGCGTGGTACCAGCAAGGACATGGCAGCTGCTAATGAAGGTCGGTGCATGCTACCAACTTTAACAACAAGGACCTGTCAGGGCCGGATCAGGGTGGATCTGGGTCTGAGCTTCCAGGCTGGCTGAGTCACATCAGGCTCAGGAACCCTCGAGATGTCTCTACCTCAGCATAAGACGCCAAGGTGGGGAGATCGGGAAGGGTTGGCGGGACCCTCCCCAAGGGAAGCCGGAGACCCTGCGGGGTGGGTGGGAGTCACTCCTGCCCTATCCACAGCCTCATCCTCATGGTCTCACATCAGCCTAAGAAGCAGGTGGAGGGGCTGGGGAGATTGCACAGCGGGGAGGGCGTTTGCCTTGTATGTGGCCGACCCAGGTTCAATTCCCATCATCGATTCCCAGCATCCCATATAGTCCCTCGAGCACTGCCAGGGGTAATTTCTGAGTGCAGAGCCAGGAGTATCCCCTGAGCATTGCTGGGTGTGTCCCAAAAAAGAAAAAAAAAAAGAAGAAGCAAGCGGAGAGTTCTGCTCCCCTAAAATCCTGCCTCAAAAGGTGAGGAAATGGTACAAGGAGATGCTGCTCCGGGTTAAAAATGGAAAACTTTTTGGCTCATTAATCTACAGATTTTAAATTATGGTTCAAATGTAATTGAGGAATGGGCCAATAGCTATAAAAAGCTTTTATATTTAATTCTGAATATTTCATCTAAATCATTAATAGCTGTGAGCATGATCTTCACCATGATATAACATTAAATGATCTTCCTTTTGGAACTTATCTCTCTCTGACCTAGAAATGTGGAATGCTGGAGGGGGCAGAGAGACAGTATAGGAGCCAACGTTCTTGCCAAATCCCTGGCATACAGTGCCCCGAACTCTATGAGGACTAACTTCTGAGCACAGAGCCAGGAGCAGCCTCTGAACACTGCCAGGTGTGCCCTGCCTCTCCAGAAAAGAAAACTCTGGGAAACCAAAGCCAACATCTTCCCTGCTTTGTAGTTTTTTGCCTTTGGGTGGGTGGGGGGGTCTATGTTCTTTCTTTTGTTCTTTTTGGATTTCGGGCCACACCCCGTGTGGTGCTCAGGGATCACCCCTAGTGGTGTGTGGGGACCATATGGGATGCTGGGGATCGAACCCTGGATTGCTACATACAAGGCAAGTGCCCTGACCTGCTGTACTATCGCGCCAGCTCCTGCCCTTTGTGTTTCAATAAAGGCAACGGTGGATGGAGCCCGTGGCCAGCAGCAGCACGTCAGAGGCGCAGGGCCACCCCAGGAGAAGCAGGGGACCCTTGCAGGGAGCCTCGGCAGGCAGGAGCCAGCCTCACCCTGGCTCTGTTCCCTGCAGCATTCACCAGACCCAGGAAGCAGCGCCCGCTGCCTTCTCCTGCTTAGACCCTTTGAACCAAGCTTGCTGGGACCGTGTGGAAGGGACCTTGGGAGATGACAGATCAGATTGCAAATATTTTTTTAGACTTCAGGGATCAGAGGACGTCAGACACAGTCACTCAGCGCTGCCTCTGCTGCCAAGGCAACAAGGAAACAAAAGGGCGTGGCTGGGTTCTGCCAAGACTTTTGCTACAAAAACAGACCTGGAGTGGAATTTGGCCCCTAGGGTATGGCTTGCCCACTTTGCTCTAGAGTAAGGTAAGATAAAGGTAAAGGCCCTCCCGTTGTTCATCGATTTGCTCGAGCGGGCCCAGTAACGTCTCCATTGGAGACTTTGTTGTTACTGTGTTTGGCATATCAAATACATCACGGGTGGCTTGCCAGGCTCTGTCGTGTGGGCGAGATACTCTCGGCAGCTTGCCGGGCTCTCCGAGAGGGGCGGAGGAATCGAACTTCGGTCGGCCATGTTGGCTGCGTGCAAGGCAAAGGCCCTACCGCTGTGCTATCGCTCCAGCCCTTGCTTACTCTAGAGTAAAAGCAACTTTTTGGTTTGGGGGGGGGGGGGTTTGTTTGTTTGTTCGTTCATTTGGTGGGGCCACACCTGCTCAGGACTTACTCCTGGTTTTGTGGTCAGGAATTACTCCAGGCAGTACTTGGGGGCCATACGGAATGCTGGGAATTGAACTGGGGTTGGCAATGTGGAAGGCCTTACCTGCTGTACTATCGCTCCAGCTCCTAAATTGGACTATTTTAACACTCACCTGTACACACACACACACACACACACACACACACACACACAGTATTTTAATTCAAAGTCAGCTTTCTATTTCTGAATAAACAATACCATTTTTTCAATACCATTTTCTCCAGAGCGATAGCATTGAGGGTAGGGTGTTTGCCTTGCACGCGACCGTCCTAGGTTTGATTCCTCTGCCCCTCTTGGAGAGCCTGGCAAGCTACCAAGAGTATTCCGCCCGCACCACAAAGCCTGGCAAGCTGCCCGTGATGTATTCGGTATGCCAAAACCAGTAACAACAACTCTCACAATGGAGACAATTACTGTTGCCTGCTCGAGCAAATCGATGAACAACGGGAGGACAGTGCTACAGACAGTGCTTTTTTCTCTCAATGTTCTCATTGCTCAAAATATTTTCATATCTAGGCCCGGAAGACAGCTCAAAGGGCGAGCAGGGACGCTGTGTGTGCTGGGAACTGGGGTTGGTTCCTAGCACTGCCAGCAGTGACCCCTAGGCCCCACTTTGGAGAAACCTCCCAGCATAGCTGGGTGTAACGCTAAGACAAAACAAAGTCCAAATGTTTGAAGATCCGGAGTTGCTTTCGGGCTTTTTTTAATCTTTTTGGGTCACACCCGGCAAAGCACAGGGGTTACTCCTGGCTCTGCACTCAGAAATCACTCCTGGCGGTGCTCAGGGGACCATATGGGATGCTGGGAATCGAACCTGGGTCGGCTACGTGCAAGGAAAACGCCCTAACCGCTGTGCTATCGCTCCAGCCCCGGGGCTGGGGGTTTTAAGCCTTGAAAACCCTCCCATTTGTTGAGCAGAGATCACCACGCCTCAACTCACCTCCTTTCTAATGAGCACTGGTCAGCAGTGGAGAGTGTAGGAGCCCCCGATGCACCGAGTAAGACTATTTCCAGAGGAAGAGCAACTCGGGACAGAAGGCGCACCCCCCACCCCCACCCTACCCCGCCTTGCCGCACACATGGGCAGCAGAGCCTCCCATTCCCTCGGAGAGAAAAGCCCCCCAGCCCGACTTACTTGCAGATGGTGCAGGCAAAGCAGTTGGGGTGATAGGTCTTGCCCAGGGCCGTCACCACCTCCCCTTCCACGAACTCGCCGCAGCCGTGGCAGCGGGTCCCGTACATCCTCTGGTAGTCCAGGGTGCAGAGGTACTCCCCGTTCTTGATGAAGAAGCCCCCCTGGGCCAGGTCACAGCCGCACACTGCGGGAGGCAAGATCACATCTGGTTAGCATCTGGGCCGTTCAGCCGCCGGCTGGCTCCGTGTCTGTGAGCTCGGAGGGGACAGGGGGAAGGGGAAGGGAGGGGATTGGTACAAAGAGCTGTTTATTGTGGAGCTGAGCACGCTCCTGCCTCCACCCCTCCGTTTCTCCACCCTTTGGGGAGCTATGCAAGATCTCATATGAGTGAAATCCACGGGCTGGCTCACGGCCGGCTGGGCCGCGGCTGAGATCTGGAGATAAGCCGCCTTCGATGGAGAGGCATCCTGGGTGTGTGCTGTCTCTGGGATGAAGCAGCGCTGCCCAGGAAAGGTATACCCTCCCTGCTGGTCCACACACCTGCCCGGCGGGGGTCCAGACTCTTGCTGGGCTGAGGCCAACATCTCCACTCTACCCGGAGCAGCTGACTCGACCAAAGTCTATTTTTTTTTTTCACAATGCAAATACTCTTCCACCTTGAACGATCCCGACGTGTAATTTTCTCTTTGTCAGTCAAGAGGACAAGCCCATGATTTACATATTACGAAGAGAAAAAAATGAACAGGCCAAGAAGGAAAGGTGAACCTGATGTGCAGGGCATTTTCGTGGCCCAGAGGAATGCTTTGTGAGGGTCTTCATGGGGGGCAAGGGGGATCTTTCAAAACGGCAGCTGTTGGATTGTGGTGATGGCACCTCCAAGTGGGTATGGGATGCCAGGGGCTTGGGCCTGCTCCACGTGTCCAGACAAGACCAGAGAAGGGCAACGCTCCTTGTCCAAAAACCAAGTTTAAAGCTGTTCCCGAGAGGAAATGTTTTTCCACTGCCAAATGGGTGGGAGTCAGCAGTTAGAATCTCCAGCCTTAACTTCTGGCTTCCCAAGGCCCAGTGACTACTAAACAATGAAGGGCCTAATGGCAGAGAAGCCCAACCACCAAATCATCTCCGAAAAACCTTATTTGTGGTGTGTGTGTGTGTGTGTGTGTGTGTCTGTGTGTGTGTGTGTGTGTCTGTGTGTGTATGTGGGGGGGGGTGGTGGAGATGGGAGTCATCTCAGCAGGCTGAGTGTAGGCTTTCCATGAAGAGGCCTGGGTTCGATCCTTGGCACCTCATAGTCCCCAAGCATTGTCACAGCAATTCCCTGAGCACTGCTAGGTGTGACCCCAAATCCACACACACAAATTTACTTTGGGGGCTGGGGTAGTAACTTCATGGTAAAATGCATGAAACCTGGCTTCCACCCCCAAGCACTGTAAAGCAAGTAAAATTAAATTTTTATGGACTGATAATTGGTTTTTAATATTCTGGAGTTTCATAGATTTTATCCTGACACCTCTATGTCTATAATGGTCACGACCAAACTTCCAGTGCCACCCCTGCTGAAAAGAAAAGACCCTTTTATTCATTCCTCTCATCCCCTTGCTCTGAAAATCATCATTTTCTTTCTTTATAAATAATCTTTCTTCCTTAATTTTTTATTGCTAGAATGAAAGCCTTATAATTTTAGATATTTACTTAATCTCCAATTAATACCAAATATTTTGCATTTTTCCTCTGACCAAAGATCTCCCAGATATTGAACAATGGCTAGGTATCAAATCTTAAACAATGCAAGTATTAAACAATGGCATCAGTTAAGCAATGACAACTAAGAAATAGGTATCACATCTTTTTTTTTTTTTTAAATCGGGGTTAGTATCTACAATGAAAGACTCACGGGGTATATTTCTAGAACCATCTTCCTTAATTTCTTAAATTTGGGGGTTACCCCTGGTGGTGCTCAGGGGCTATTCTTGGCTCGGTGCTCAGGAGTGAGCCTGGTGGAGCTCGGGGGACCCTACATCGTGCCAGGATCAAACTGGGGTGAGCCGCACACAAGGCCAATCAATGCCTTCAGCCCGGGGCTCTCTCCAGCTCTGACCAACATCGTGTTCACTGAATCGGTCGGTTCTATCGCTCACTCCCAGTCCCCTTATTTCAGTCATTCGTATGCCAGAGTGGAGCAAACCCCTCATCCCTTGATTCCGTCCCCTGGCTGGGGACTTTATCAAGATGACACAAGTGGATTCTGTTGGCGGGGCACCCCGCCCATCCTCGGGGAGCAGACTTGACTCATGGCAGATGACGACAGATAACCAAGGAGACAGAGACCCCATAAACAAGCATTCTGTGCCGAGTCCTTGGCTTTGTTTAGATCAACACAGGCACAGCCGTGACCTTCTGTGCCACGGACTATCCAGAAACCCAAGATGCTGGCCAGCGGCCACCACGCCTGCAAAGGGCCCCCCTAAAAATACCACAGTGGTCACATGACCTGAATGCCAGCACGGGCACCACCTGCTACCTCCCAAACCTGCCAGCACCCCCACTGTGCTCACACCTGCTTCCTCCTGACCCCACGGGTCCAGGGGCCTCAGGGCTGGGCCAGCTCCTCCCCTGCGGTAAATGCAGTCCAGGCGGCTGACCACGGGAGGGGGCAGTTCCTTCGTATTTTCTAAGGATGATTCTATTTTTTTTTTCTTCCTGTGAGCTGTCAATGCACTCCAGAGGCAAGACCTTCCACATGCCCTTCGGAATCTTTGATTTCAGGCACCTGTGACTGTGTGGTCACTGCTGTGAAGGTAACCTTAGAATGAATTTGAATCCAGCCCCCAAGTTGATGGGTTGGTGCCTCCCTGCTCTGCTCAGGGGTCTGGGCAAATGTCACACCATCCTTCTAGACGTGGGTGCCTTTCAGAACCACGGGAGGTGACACACTCACCACACTCACATATCTGGCCCAGCAGGGAGGCCCTTGGTTTGTTCCTTTAGTCACCTAGGGTAGGTTCAAAACTGTTGCCTGTCTTTCTAAAGAGATTCGAGACCAGACAAGTAATCAATAGCATCGATCAACAGTTACAACTAACAGGCCTATCCACGATCTAGCATTAAGTGAAAAGTGGATAGTGCTGCAAAGCCAAGCTTTTTTTTTTTTCCCTTTTTGGGTCACAGCCAGCAATGCTCAGGGGTTACTCCTGGCTTTACACTCAGGAATTACTCCTGGTAATTCCTGGAATGCTCAGGGGACCATATGGGATGCCGGGTATCGAACCTGGGTCAGTCGTGTGCAAGGCAAACACCCTACCCACTGTGCTATCCCTCCGGCTCCAAAGCCAAGCTTTTGAATCACGCCATTTCTGAGGACTCTGTATGTGCTATGGACAAGGAAAAGTGAATCGGCACCAACACAGGCTTGTTAAGAATGGGCTAACTCCATATCTAGAGAATTATTAACTTATCCCCACATATTAGGTGTCAGTTTACTTGAAGGTCTACTTAAGTATGGTAAAATCCAAATAACCAAAACAAAAAAAAATATGACCCTCTTGACTTTGGTTTGGTGGCAAGAATTGGACCCAAAGCCTTAACTACACGAGGCCAACGCTCTCTAACTGAAGCTCAGTTCTGCCCCTCAGCCATTTCCAAGTGTCCAGCAGGTAACAATGGCACATTCACACTGCTGTGTGACCATCCTCCAATCCATTCCCCAGAATGTATTTTTTTTGTTTGTTTGCTTGTTTTGCTTTTTTTGGGGGGGTCAGATCCAGCGATGCACAGGGGTTACTCCTGGCTCAGGAATTACTCTTGGCGGTGCTCGGGTGACTCTATGGGATGCTGGGAATTGAACTCAGGTTGGCTGTATGAAAGGCAAACGCCCTACCAGCTGTGCTATCGCTCCAGCCCCCCAGAATGTTTATGGTCTTGCCAAACTGAATCTCTCTTCCATCCACAGCTCCCGTCCTCCTCCCAGCCTCTGAATGAGGCCGTTTCTCTCTTATTGGTAGGCCCTCAACTGCTCTGAGAAAGCTCATCCAAGTAGCCACTCACTTTAATAACAAGATGTTAACAAAAGCTGTCTGAAACCTGAACACAGGTGAGGGAGAGAACTAGCCTCTTCCCAGGTCATCCAAGGCATCCACTGCACATACCTGTGTGGAGATGAGTGATTGACAATAAGTATTTTCCTAGGGTGAAAGGCCCAAACTGTGAAAACAATGGTAACTTGTAGACTTTACCCAGTAGCAACGCAGATGTTCTCTGTTGAGCGTGATCATCCTGTTGGATTGTTAATCAGATTTGTATTTAGCCCTGGTCTCTTATTCCAACGTTCTTTCTTGAATGAATGCCTTTGTAATATTCCAGTCCTTTACTTCTTCTTTGAACCAGCTTTACATCCTGCAGGCTCTCATTAAGGAGTTGAATCAATCTTTGATACAGGGTCATTCTATATTGGTGTGAGAGCCCTGTATTTCAATTTTTGAAAATCACACATTGACAAAGAGTTTCTTCTTTCTAACCCAAAATATCTGTGGGTGAACATCTAAAATTGTGAACAAGCTTTGATCTGTTTCACATGAACAGATTAGCAAGTACTTTTAGCCAGTGGCACAAAGCAAAACGTTCACATTCAAATGATCACAAAAGAATCTCAATTTGTGAGGTCAAACTTCAATAAGAAATATCTAGATTTTTAGATTTTTAACTCTGGTTCGCCATTTGTCTCAGCTCTGGTTGAAAGTTAACATAGGCCCAGACAAAGGACAGATTAGATTCCTTTCATTAAGTAAAAAAAAAAAAAGAAAAGAAAGAAAGAAAAGCTGCTCTGAATAAGATTAATTGCTTTCGATGGTAAATTATTTCAGACACGCTCAGGAGCCCACTGAATCTCTCTGCTTCACTCTTGCTCAGGTACAGCCACAGACACTGTTATGTTCCTGGATTTATTTTCTGCCAACCACGGAATGCCATGAACTTGTCAAATAGGAAGATGAATATCCAAACCACTTTATGTAAAAGATGTAAAATTAGTAACGGGCACATTTTAAAAATATTTTAAAAGGGGGGAAAAAAACCCTCGCCGGCGCGTGTTATAAAAATACCAAGGAGCAGACGGGAGGTGTGGAAGATGGTGGGTGCTGTGGCCGCATGCGTGGCTGGACGGGACCAGGGCAGCGACCGTTCTTCTGT